GCAGCATTCAAAGCTTGACCACAGCCTTCTGGCCTTATGGTCAATCTCCTAATCCCTGCCCTTAGCCCTTATTGAGGCCTCCAGTCCCCCATTTCTCCCAACATCCTAACCCCTCCCACCTAGACTCAGCCAAACATCATTTCACCACTCTCAAATTGCTGGGCTCCCTGCCACAATATGAGCCCAGAAGAGCCCCGTTTGTGCTTTCCTGGTGACTGGACACTCAGTCTACTGTATACATTGGAGAAGACCTCAAAATCCAGTGGGAGATCCAACTGACTCAACTCTTCACTGAATCTACCACCGCCCACAATCCTGCTCTGGTCCCTGCAGACTCCTGGCTATCACTGCAATCTTCACCTCTCTCCTCATGCCCCTGGCCTTACCATGGTGAATCTGAGAGTCTATGGCCAATTTGAGACAGAAAAGGAGCAGCAAGGGGTAAAAAGGAAGGATGAGACCTGGAGAGGAGACACGAGATTGAGCTATGTTTTTTGTTTTTTTTAAGATTTTATTTATTTGACAGAGAGATAGAGCAGGAACACAAGCAGGGGGAGTGGGAGAGGGAGAAGCAGGCTTCCCACCAAGCAGGGAGCCCGATGTGGGGCTCGATCCCAGGACCCTGGGATCATGACCTGAGTCAAAGGCAGACGCTTAACGATTGAGCCACCCAGGAGCCTGTTTTTTTTTTGTTTTTTTTTTTAAGTTTATTTAAGTAATCTGTACACCCAACGTGGGCCTTGAACTCATGATCCTGAGATCAAGAGCCACATGATATTCCAACTGAGCCAGCCAGATGCCCCATGAGCTATGTTTTTAAGATAGGAAAAAATGTTTGTAAATGGAGTCATTAATAATGATAGCAATTAACATTTACATAGCACTATATGCCCAGGTGATATCTAAGAGTCGTATGTATATATTTCTACATTTAATCCTCATAACAACCCTATGAGGTAAGCACCGCATATATCCTGTTTTATGGATGGAAACACTAAGGCTCAGAGCACTACTTGTCCAAGGTCACAAAGCAGTAACTTACTAGCACATGGCAGAACCAGCATTCAAATCCAGGCAGTAGGTACCTGAGACCATGACCTTAATCACTATACTATGATAAATGCTGCAGAGAAAGAAAAACATCCCTAAACCAGGTGTGGGGTGGAGGGGTACGGGGACTCCCCCTCCTTTAATCCCACCTCCACATAGCAGGTCAAGCAGAGGCTCATCAGACAAATGGGCAGAACCTTTATTTCCTACCCCACTCCCTGGATCTCTGTCAGAAGAAAGGACAGAGGCACAGTAGGTAGAATGCCAAATAAACCCTTCTTAAGCAATCCAGAACCCAGCTGAGACCGCACACCTGTAACTCTTCATAGCTGTCCCTTTTCACACACCAGAGAGAAGAGGAAGCAGGACAGGGAGGCCCACTTCTGTGGATTCAAGTCTTGTTGGGGATGTTGAACAGTTACAAGAGGCTTTTCAGAGAAGGCAGAGCCATCCTAGACATTCATGCCTGGAAAATAGCTTGCTTGGCGGATCTTCAGGACCAGGTGTCTCGAACCCTTCTTCGGGGTCGTGGGCCACAGCTGGAGCTTGATGTGGGGCCCAGGCCAGGGGGTGCTCCTGGAGGCTGGTAGCCACACTCATTGGGGTCCAGGGGGTCCCGGCTGAGCAGTACCCACACTGCAGGTACATGGCGGCGCACTGTGAGGGGATCCAGGCCAGTGTCAGGTGAGACTGGCACCCAGCTGTCCTCGGTCTGCAGGAAGCGCAGCTTGGTAAGCTGGTGCAGGCCTGGTACACGCCGCTTGACAATCTCAGCACAGCTGACCGCCTTCCCTGCAGCCCGGCCAGAACCTGAGAACACCACATGCCGTGCACTACCACCCTCCAGTCGACCCAGTGCCAGCCCCAGTAGGTTGCGGATTTTGCTGCCATCTCGGACCCGCATCTCCAGGGTATCAGGAGGTAGCTGGGGCATCGGAGAAGGTGCTGGGAGTTCCACAGAGCCAGCTTTCCGGTAGTGCTCCATTCCACTTGCTGTTGTGTCTGAATTTCACGGTCCACTGCAAAGAAGTGTCAGATGAATGCTGGGCAATACGCCCCAAGCCATCCCCCAACCCCAGCTCTCCAGGAAATGGTCCTGCTCTTCATCCCAGACTTCCCAGGAACAGGACTGTATCCCCTCACCCTTGGCTTCTCAGCACAGGTGCCATGCCTACTTTACCCTGGAAAAGGGCAGTATCCCAAACACCCCATTCTTCTGGACATGGCCATAACCCTCCCTCCACCCTGGAGTCCCTGACACAGGACCAAATTCATCAAACACTGGGCTCTTTAGGATAGGCCAAGCCCCCTCATCTTGAGCTCCTTGGGACAGGGCTGTGCCCTTGAACAGGGACTTCAAGTACCTCCATTTTTACCTCAACTGTACTTTCTAATAAAGTTCTTTTCAGTTTATCTTTTTTCCAGCCTATCTTTTTTTTTTTTTAAAGTAAGCTTTACGCCCAACGTGGGGCTTGAACTCACGAGCCCCAAGATCAAGAGTTGCATGCTCTACTGACTGAACCAGCTAGGCACCCCTTTAGCTTATCTTTTAATTCAGGCAAAAGACCCTGCAGGCAAAGCATCCCTTGATGGGAACCAAAATTACCCCTCAAGCAATAACGACTGCCCTAAGGCCTGCAAGACCCTCTTTGGCCGCAAGACAATGATGGACCTGCCCTTTACTGCCCATTGCACCTACAGACCGACCTTTGTCCCACATTCTCCTTATATAAACCTAGAAGCACTGTCAACACTTTGAAGACAGTCTTTGAGCCTAGCGTGCTGTCTTCTCAGTGTTGGCCCCACTTAAATAAATTCCTTTCTTGTTTCACCACCAGGCGTCTCCGCCTTTGGATTTTGTCAGCCGGGAGTGGCAGAACCTGGTCTGTTTGGGACCCCCAAAGCCAGGCGCTTCTGCATCCCTGTACCCTGGTTACACCCTTGCCCCAGACTTTTGAAAACAAGACTGAGCGCCCCTCACCCACAGCTAAGACAGGAACAAGGCCCCCTCACTCCGCTCGCAGAGGTTCCTACCCTCCAAGCTCCCTGGCAAGAGCCCTCCTCCAAATGCTTCTCAAACAGAACTGAACCCCTCCCCTACTCCGGGATCCTAAGAATAGGGCCGAGCACCCCTCACCCTGAGATTCCCAGTGTCGATGCCCCCAACCCAGGTCACTCAGAAACTCGGAAGCAGAGGCCTGACGCGGAGGGCTGCGTGGGCTACTCCTGGCGTGGAGTCCACAGCCCGGCCCCCTCCACCGCCACGGGCGGACTCCAAAGCCCAGCAGGCCGCAGAGGCCAAGAAGCCAGCCTCCCCTCTCTTCTCTCTACCTCCAGACAACCGCACCACCGACCCCCAACGCCGCGGCGCTCTAGCTCTCACCGCCTCGGCCCCGCACACCTCTACTTCGATCTGGAGCCAAGATGGCGCGCACGCAGGGAGCGCGCCGAAGCCGCGGGGCCGCGCACGCCGGCTAGGGGCGGGGCCTGCGGGGCCGTGGCCCGCGGGGCCTCCGCGGGAAAACTGAGTACCGCCTGGTCGTCTAGGTGTGAGCTGAGCCAGGACACCCTGAGACATGAACATAGAGGCAGTCTCCGCTGTTACGCCCTGGGGCACCCCTACCGGGGCGCAGAAGAGCACTGCGGAGAGGAGCCACCATCAGAGACTCGCGTCCCAAAGGTGGGGAGGATCCGGCCCTGAGACGATGGCAGGACTGGAGTCACCAGTAGAGCGCACTGCAATAGCAAAGGCGACGCAGTGGGTTTCACTTGACAGGGGCAAGAGGTTCCGTTTGAAGTGGTTGCTGCTGCGCGGAGGAGAGCCTTGGTCACCGAGTTGTTCTGCGCTTCGACCTCATTCTGTGGGCATGGTGAGCCACGAAGGCTTTTCATCAGGGGCCAGTCAAACCAGTTTATGTGCACAGTTCATTCTGGCTGCCGACAAAGGGGGTGGGAGTGGGGAAACTGGGCAGCAACCGCCGGTGAACAGGCCGCGGGGTGCTGGGGGCGTGTCCACGGAGACTCGTACGGTGCCTAGCGTATAATAAGTGCTCAAATATTTGTTAAATGATTTGAGAAGGAAACAGAAATAGCAGTCGGAATAGAGAAAAGTAGATTAAGTTGGGAGATATTAGAAGGTAGGTTTGATGAGTTGGTGACTGTCTGGACTGAGAAGAAGAGTCTAGGATGAGTCCCAGGTTTGTCTTAGGACGTGCTGAATTTGAGACGCTAGTGAAACTGTGCAGGTTGAGTGGCGGGCGGGCAGGCCCTTGTAAAGGGGTTTGGGGCCACAGCACTCCCTGAGACCACAAGGGGGCAGCAAACACTTGGTGTGTTTGCTGGAGTGAGGCACCAAGCTCTGTCTCAGCTCTATCATCAGGCTCCCTCCTTCTCTAGCCCAGCAACCCACCCCCACCACCCCACACACAACCCATCCCCACCAGAGAGCCCAACGCCCTGCAACCCAACCTCTTCTGGGCTCCTCTTCCCGCTTAATAGCACCAAGTAAACTCCCAAGAGAGAAACCTCAAGGATCCTGCCTTTGCACATGCTCTCAAATATCCTGGATATCACCTTCCAGTGCTGCCTCCCTCAACCCTTCCTCTTCTGTGCTCCAAAGGACCCAGTTTCTGGGTGGGCTCTTTTCTTTGACCATCTCCCCAGCTAGTCTGTGCAAGGCAGGGATCATATCCTCCCCACCTAGCATGGTATCTGACATTTAGAGGATACTTGATAAATGTGAGATAAATGGATGCACAAACAAATGTTCCACTCATATCGATCAAATGAGAGCATTTGTCCTGAGAACTCTACATTCCCCAGAAAGCCAGACCAGGATGAGTATAGCTCCTGGTCCAACCACTAGAAAGGCTGACAATTCTGCCCTCTACCACCCCCATCCTCACCGTCATTCCCATCATAGACCAGGAAGTTGACACATTCCTCCAGTGATTTCTATAGTTTATTGTCACTGGAATAGGACACTGACGTGGGGAGGGGGTGCAAAAGCAAACCTCAAGTAGCCAGACCTCCGACCTCAGAGCCCCACCTGAACGCAGAGAGGTAGGCTGCGAATCCAATAAATACAGAGCTGCCTCTGCCCTGTTACAAAGGCAGTTTAGCACAGGGCCCTGGAGCCTGGCTGTCCTGGCCCACCCAGGAATGGGAAGCAGCCATCACTCCTCTGCTGGCTTCACTTGCTTGGCGGCCTCTAGCTGGCAAAGTAGCTCATCCCACTGCACAAATTGCTTGGAGAGAAGCATTGTCTGGTGGCAGGTCAAGGTGAGAACAAGAGCCTGAATGAGGAAGTGAAGAGATTTTCCATCTGCCAAAGGGATGGGGAGGAGGGGAATAGAAAGGTTCATTGGGATGGGATGAAAGAGACAGAGCTGCTGGAGACTGAACAAAAGGGCAGGGCCTTGGACAGCATTCCTTAGGGGCCTGGCTGAGCAGAAAGGATACAGTCTTGTTGTATTCCTCCAGGAGAGCCTTGGACTCCTCAGTGATCTCCACACACTGGTCCTATGGAGCCAACGTATGGCAGAGAAAGGAGTTGGATAAAGCCCCTGCTTCCCACTAACTTTCCTGCCTTATCAGGGACCCTCACTCCCCATAAAGCCTAGAAAAGGTAGTGTTTAGCCCCAGAGCTAAAAGGAACAAATTTCTAATGGGGCACTTTCAAGCTCCAGGATGGGTACCCTAACAGCAGTCCTAAGGCGGAGTGACCACTCATTTAAGGAAATATTCCTGCTAGTATATGTCTCCTCCTTCCCTGTCCCCTATATCTGAATCCTCTTTGAACTTTAATCTAAGGCCTGGGAATGGTAAAACAAAACAAACAAAAACAGCTCCTCCACTCAATGTCAAGGACACACCATCCCCAGAAATTCTTGGGCACCTCCCATCATCGACCTTCTGGTGTCTCAGAACAGTCCTACTCAGAGAAGCAAGAGACCTAAGGCAGATGGAAGATAAAGGATAAACCTTCAAGTTTCCCCTGGAGCTGACATGAGGGTAGCCTGATGCTGCTTCCCCAGGTGGCAGGGGTGGGGACTAGGAGCCTCACCACTTCTACTTTCCCTTCCAGTCCTCACCCCTCCCATACCTGCTGCTGGATGTGGATCTGGGCCAAGCGCTGCAGGCGGGCAGCATGTTCAGGAACGGCTGTAAAACACAATACGCACTGCCCGATGATGCTTGTGCCTTCCCCGGGGACTGCTCAATAGTCTATTAGGTCTTCAGCAGGATTAGAGTATTGAGTGGAGAAGCTAAGCAAACGCCAGGCTTCATTGACCACTGCAGCTAAAGGTGGTGGGGCTCCCTGCCCACCCCAGTCTTACTCTAGGACCCAGAGGGGGCAAAGATTCAGGCTCCTAGGAGAAAACAAAACCTTGGGGTCTCCAGAGTTGCCCCATGCCCCCACCCCAGTGCTGTAAGCAGGGTGAAGTAAAGAAAGCTTTGCCTATCATGGGATCTGTCCCTTTGCTCTCAGCCCAGTGGGACCCGGTCTGCCTGGAAGAGGGAGCCTGCAGGTGGGCTGAGGATGAATGCCAGGTCCCTAAGCTAGACACCTGGAATCCAACACCCAGAGCCTTGGCCACCATGCTGGGCCCACAGCTTAAGGCTGTCAGACCCTCAGCAAGGGAGGGGAGGGGGAACTAGGAAAAAATACCTCCAGAGACAGACAAGATGGATATCTGGATTCAATTAAAGTCACTGTCTGCTTGTCAAAAGAGGCCCAGGGACTGCACTGGGAAGTGTGGTGGGAAGAATTTACACACATTTACATGCCTGGCAGGAACTCTTACAGTAAAATCTGGGCTACGCAGCACCGTGCAGAACATATGCTGAGGGGGTGATGAAGAAGGTAGAAGGAATACCCAGAGTTGGGGGCTGCTGGACTAGTGTCCTTAGGTCCAAACTGCCTGAGGTTCTGAAACTGAACTCTGCTCTGGACATTTTAATCCCAGTGCAGGTAGCAGGTACCCCCAGAGTGAGGGTAAAGACAAGGAGCAGACTAAGCTTGAACCCAGGGAATCTGAGGCACAGGGAAGTCCTGGCCATCCACCCACCTCCCCAAGCACAATAGTAGAGTTACAGCCCCAAAGAGGTACCTTTGATGTGAGCGCTGTCCAGCATGGGCACCAAAGCCTCCACCTGCTCCAGGAGTGCAATCTGGGATAAGATAAACTGCTCCTCTGAGGCAAAAACAGACAAGACAGTGGCAGTGAGGTAAGCCTGGGCACTGCTACTCCTATGCAAGGGGCTGAGGCCCCGGCAGGGGAGATGGCTGAGTCCTGGAGCATGGGCCAGCTCTCTGCCCATTGCCCCCTTCTCTAGGTACACATTCCCCCATTCTGCCCCTACTTCTCCTAGGTGCCTCTGGTATGAGCCATCTTGAGCCCAAGGAGCCTCTAAGTTTCTTCAAATCCCACCTTTCTTTTTTTTTTTTTAAAGATTTTTTTTTATTTATTTATTTGAGAGAATGAGATAGAGAGAGAGAGCATGAGAGGGGGTAGGGTCCGAGGGAGAAGCAGACTCCCTGCTGAGCAGGGAGTCCGATGCGGGACTCGATCCCGGGACTCCGGGATCATGACCTGAGCCGAAGGCAGCCGCTCAACCAACTGAGCCACTCAGGCGCCCCTAAATCCCACCTTTCTTAAAGTTTTAACTCTAAGGCCTCTTCCTCTAGCCTCCTATCAACAAACTCAGTGATGCCACAGGAGACAAAGTACTTCAGACTTGGGTCTCCATGCCCAAGGACCCCTGGGAAGGTATGAAAGAGGAGACATGTGGCAGAATATC